AATGATAAAACGCTAGCAATACGCATTAACTTACTGACTGATGATGCATTACAGTGTATGTGTTTCGGAGTCTTGTTCTATGTCCCACTTTCCTAAAGTAGGTTAAATCAACTATAAAGCGAAGGGGGACGACAAAAAATGTCAAAATCCCCTTGGTCTTAATATCAGATGAGTTTCTGTTTTTATGGGAATTTGTTTTTTGGCAGCATATGTTTAAGTAAATGGCATTGTGTAGGCATGTTCTGGCCTAAGCTACGGTTGCCTAGGTATAGTCAATTGCCACGAGAAAATCACATATGACCCAAGACATTCGACAAGATTTCCTACACTGAACATAAATGGCGGAAATACTTGTGGGATAGTCTCTCATCTTATGCGAAAAGACTAAGATTACCCTATCATAAAACAAGCTCTAAAGCAAAACTGCAAGCTGAGCTTCCTGTTTCTTTTTGTTCCTCTTACTTCCATGGGGAATTAATTTATCAAATTAAGTGTGCATTTCATATTTTGTTTTGATTGCTCCTCTACATTTTTGTATCCTGTAGTTTTCTGCATATACAAGAAGAAAGCCGGGTTCGAGACCATTTTGCTCGGTTTACGCCACATTTTATACGGATTTCGTTAACTGGATTCAACCTCTTCGAGTAGTCATAGGTTCGAAACTGTTCTCACTTATTAAATTATATATCTCCTTCACTTTAGTAGCGATGCAGATAATTGTCCGGATTTAGTTAGTGGCTCTGGAAACTGTTAATCCCAGTTATTTTTTAGAGCGGGCAGGCTGGCTAGGCCGTAACAGGCCATGCGTCTTCGACTTCATTTTTGCCTGCTTACTCAACTTATTTCATTTTGCTATTTGTGACTTATCTTACATAATGAGAGTGGTCCATTTCGAAGGAAAATTTCCTTCATTTTTCTTTATCTCTCATCTCTCTTACTCACTATTTTTATAGATTTCACTACCATAGCTTTGGATATACACCTTTGGTTAGATAAAAAGTTTTCTATCCAATGTATATGTTTTGGCTCCTATTTAACATTCCTTTTCTTTCTAGAATGTCAAGAAATGAAAGACAATTATCTTGCCTCAATTTTGTATCAAACCTGATACAATAATCCTTCTTATTTAAGCGTCTTAATCTTGCTTGACAAAAATTCATGCTACCTATGCAAAGCATTCTTGATTATGAAAGCCCCAAACTTTATACTCTCTATTTTTTCTTTTATACATGTCTTTTTTATAACTAATTTTTCCCTTTTAAACTTCCGACGCACTTCACCTTTACTAATATCCAGTACACCCGGCCAATCGACCCGAGTCCGACCATCGACGAGGCCAATCTCTCCTCACCCCCATTGCCACATTCTCCAGGTGGTCGAATTTTGCCCCACCTTTCCAGTTCCACTATGCCTCTTGCCTCTTCAACAGATGTCACCACAACTTCCTTAGCAAGCGCAAGCATTGACGCTCCACCGAGTCTCAGTGATTCATCTGCCGGCCTTGCTACTACCGCCTTGTACACTGCAGCTACCACCGTAATCACAGCGACCAGCTCGGGCACTAGCCACTTCGGTGTCGCCATCCCTGATGTGACGTCTGCCATGTTTATATCGGCAGCTCCTCTGGCCGTGGGTGAAGAGGAGAATTCGATGAGAGACTTGTCACGCACCTACTCCGAATCCTCTGCAGTTTGTTCCAATGCTACCGTGATAACTGCAGGTACTGGATATTCAGACGGCATCGATACAGTCTCAGAATTACATCCTCAACAGGCAACGGCGTTTGCATCACACCCTCAACAGCAACAGCTGCAGGTCCAGCCCGCTGGGCCTGCGAGGAAGTCTAAATCAAAGATGACAGATGAAGAGACTCAGGAACGCTTGAGGTTGATCGTTAGCATTGGTGATCCAAATCGGAAATACCAGCGGGAAGAAAAGATTGGCCAAGGGTGAGTGCTTTAAAAGATTCTTGAATTCCATTGTTCTATATTCTTCTTTCTATCTCTTCATTCATCATAATCCTCTGTTCTTTCCATGCCCCTTTTTCGGATCTATCTTTACTTCCAATGCTTCGTTTTTGCTCCTCATCCTACATCGTCTCTTGTTTCTAGGATGTCATTAATTCGCATGGATCTAATGAGAAGCAGAATTAACTACGCTTTATTTAATATCTCTTAGATCACCGCCAAATTCTGGCTGTTTTTATAAAATTCTTAATTGTCTATCCTTTAGCTTTCCTTGTTTTGTCAATTTTTCATTCTACTTATATTATGTGTAAGTAGGCCGGCGAAAGGTCAATTATTGCTCTATTTTGTTTCTGTCCATAGTTCACATTTTTAGATATAAAATCAAAATTAAGATCTTTACGAAAATTGCAATTCAATGTAGCCGAACTTTATTACTTTTGACATAACTCCCGCACCGTACATGAAATGATCAACTTATAGCAATTAGTCTTGTATGCTGGTAATCCAGTCGTAGTCTTTTTACCTCATCAACTTATTTAACGCTTTTTTGTGGCCGTCAAGGCGGTGAGTATAGTTTTGTAAAAGACGAATATATGAATTTCGAAATTCCTCTTCCAAGTGTCATGACTGCATTATAGCCATATGAGCCCGCGTATTTTATTGTGCTTATTTAGCTTCCACTAGCACACGCTAACTCGTTGCCTATATTAATCATCCATTTTGTTTGAAAACCCACTTTGGGGACAAAAGAGAGAACGAAATTATTGAGCAAAGTCTAACATTCTGTTTAATTCATCGTTTTTGGTTCTGAAATAGCGAGTAGCCCAAAGTATACCTTTTTAAAGAGATTAATAACAAAGCCTTCAATGCAAACAAGTTTTTATGCAAAATGTGCCTCCTCCACTTATTCTTTTTGCAGGGCCTTCGTTAATGGGGCGTCTGGAAAAACTGTTGGCTTACACCCAGTTTTTCTCAAAACATTCGCTGTACGTCTTTGTAAAAGATCACTATTATGTGACGTCAGCTATCAGTTGCTTATCGTGCATGATTGAAGCTAAATATTGCCGCATGGAGCGGTCGGTAGCTTCTATCTCGTGCAGGTCTCATCAGAGCGTTAAATCAGACTAGGATGTTTGGCTTTGCTTTGTCAGAAGGAAACGTTTTGCAACCATACTAGGGCACGCTTCTTCATTTATCTACCAGCTATCTGGGTTCATTTATGAACCATATTGATTTCTCATTAACATTGACAATGAAATCAATATTAAATCGCATACTCATTGCCATTCTCGCTTATCTTTCTCAGCTAACCGATAAGTCCTATATTCTTAGAGAAATATACTTCAGCACATTCATGGCCTCCTTTTATCGCTTACCTCTAATTCAGATGGCTAACAGAAGAGAGGTCTTGAAAACAGGGTGATTGCATACTAGCTGAGCTTCACAATTTTTATTATTATTTCCTGAACCTTCTAAGTTCCTCTAAAAATCAAACCTATTTGACACTTAGTCAGATCGTATAAGCAACGCAAATATTTACGAAAACAGAGGATGGTATACAACCACAACACACTAGCTGAACACGACAATAAGTCATTTGGGCCGGTGGGCGCTCATGAGACTTAATAGTAGTTCATTCACTTACTATGAGATTTTAGTAACTTTACAAGTAGGAAAGCAGAAACGTTTGCCAATTTGTTTACTTTTTCGACGGTCCTTGTGAAGCATAATTTTTTTTCCAGCGATGCTTGAAAACTGTTTCCAAACGAACAAGTCATTCCTTCATTATTGGAAAACATGGTTTTCGCACATTCACTCAGGATCAACTCTTCGGTGTTGGTAGATATGCAAACGCATACTCCCGCCTTATTTGTCAAAACGTTTTAGTTTCCACGGCATATTTTGATCACTAAGTCACTTCTAAATACTATGTGCCAGTAATAATTGCCCCGCGTTATAGGTATTCTTTCTCTGCAGCA